AAAACATAAACATGTTTTATGTTTTAGGATTCAACACCGAAAAAACACTATAATAGTTCTCATACAAAGAACAGGACATTCAGTCTGTTGCAGTAGTATGAAACATTAATCAGTTGTTAAGGCAACGAGTCTGAGAGAAAGAAGTGGTTTTCAGTTGTACTTCAACGGTTTTTCCCTTTGCTGTGGAAACAGCACTAAACTAATTCCAACGTTTCTAAGTTTCATTGAGTTAATGGAATTATTTTACCATGGCAGCGCAGATATGGATAATATGTAAAAGAGTAGGATTTTTGCACTCCAGAGTTGTGCAAATGAGCGAAATTTCCTTATGTATAAAACAACATGCAGGGGTCTATTGTGAAATCAAAAAGAAAAGAAAAGAAAAAAAAAAAAACGCTTACTGTGTTCCACACGGACCTAAATAAGGGACGGACAATGCAAAGGAAAAAAAAGCGGAAGAGAAAGCCAAACACAGAAGACGGGACTTTGAGGACTCTTTCAATCAAAGATCTTGATCAACTCATGCAGATCTGGATAAATTTGTAGACGGGCAGAGAGGCAGCCAGTAAGACACGAGCTGTATTGAAATAAGAAATAAATATTTATGACTAATGTTGAAAAAGTTATATATTTGTATATTTAAATAAATGTAAATATTATGTAACTGTAAAGATGAATTTGTATTTTAAGGTTAAGGAACTTAACTTTAGTTACTTTGTGAGTTTGATTCACAGTGGGTTGCTTAGTATTGTTTATATGGTTTATTTTCTTTTTTTTTTTTTCTTTATTTGTTTAGCAGGAGAACATACATTCATTTTCCATACATTTTGCAAAGCTTACATGACTTCTCCAATTTAGTATTATTTTTTTCCCCATTTAACACATAGCAAACATAAATCCCCATACAGACATAACAAAAAGAAAACCAAGTACGTATAATTACATAAAAAAAACAATTATAAAATAAATTTAAAAAAATAAAATAAAAATAAAATAACAGAGGGCTTTTGAGGGGGGTTGGACAGCCTCGAGAAGCTAAAAAGCAACAACACTTTATTTGATTATTCTGCAGATTTTAGTCACATGACATGATGGGTAAGTCACATCAATCTATACATTATAAAGGCAGAGATTTTATGTATGTCACAAAAGGTGCCCACTTGTGAGTGAATTTTGCTGAACTACCTTTCACTGTTAACAAAATCTTTTCTATCCTTAAGCATGATCTTACAGTATTAAGCCATAGTGAAGTAGATGGAGGTATAGGAGATTTCCAGCTAAGTAAAATGCAGCGCCTAGCAAGGAGAGAACAGAAAGCCAAGACCTCCCCCTGCAGGGGCGACAAATTAAGTGAGGTCACTGGAACTCCAAAATATGGTTTATTTTCTTTGTAGTTTGAGTAAAATTAATTTGTGTAAATTTAGAGACAGTTAAGTATTTTTTTTTTCTTTTGGATTTGTTTGCAGGTTTTCACCTGCTTCTGGACCAAATGTGAGAATGTCCCGATGTACACTGAATAAATGGAGGATAAAATGAAGAAAACTGCTGCTTGGTCCTTTAAGTAAAACCCTGTTTGAAAGTCTACATCAATTTATCCATTCCTTCTCAAGTGGGGAAGCTGCACAAATTAAAAAAGAACTTGACATCTATACTTATTAATGTGATTATGATTAAGTCAGTGCCTCGCCAGCTATGAACCTCGACCTCGACGCATAGCTGAGGTTCATAGCTATGCTGGACGGACGGACGGATGGACAGACAGACAGATAGAGTTAACCACAAACTCTGATTCTAAGGTTTGTTCATGTAATGGTCAAACAATAAATTGAACACACATAAAAATATTCAAGAGAATGTACCTGAGTGAAGTTGCCCCCCACCTTCTTCAAATCAGACAAAATTGGTGTCAAAATTGGTGTTTGTGCAGCAAAAATTTTCATTTGTGCTGGTATAATTCTGAAGATATTATGAAAAATGTTCTCCAGGGGTCAAAGGTCAATCCCCCCCCCACCTTCTTCGAATCAGACAAAATTGGTTGACCTTTGATGACCCCTGGAGAACATTTTTCTTAATATCTTCAGAATGATACCAGCACAAACGGAATTTTTTGCTGCACAAACCAGCACAAACGCTGCCGAGTTGATTGACACCAATTTTGTCAGATTCAAAGAAGGTGGGGGGGCTGGTTGACCTTTGATGACTTCTAAAAACATTTTGTTATATCTTTGAAACGATAGTAGCACAAATAAAAAATTTTTGCTGCACAAACCAGCACAAACGTTTGACACCAATTTTGTCTGATTTGAAGAAGGTGGGGGAGCCAACTTCACTCAGGTAGAGAATGTTATATCATAATAAATAATACACTTTTATGACAAGAAGCATGCCAAATAACATGTTTCAGAAATCTGATCAAGGACTAAAAACAAAGAAAAAAAAAGAGTGCTTACACATTCCCAGGGAACTCAGACGAGGGACGCCAAGAAACAACCACATCATTCTAGAGAAGGAAAAAAATACATACATTGGGAATAAATTCCAAGTAAAATGTTTTATTGTCAATAATTATTTAAGGTCAATATAATAAAGTTAATAATCTTTATGCAAAATCAATAAGTCAGGCATCACCTAATTATTGGGAATTCATAGCCTATCAGCTCCCATTTCTCAAAGCAAGACTTTCTCTTGTGGTGTCCTCTCACTTGACTCCTTCTGGCACCATCACATGGCCTGACAGGTAGATTTACATATGCCATGTTCTTTCCATCTCTTGATGAATTTAACTGAACTCCAGGAGACGTTCAGGACCTCAGGATATTGTTTTTGTATCCCTGACTTCAAAAAGGTTTTTACTAGTTAGTTGGAATGTTTGTTAGTCATCGCATTATAATGATAGCCAGGAATACTGATGAACTAGTTCATGGACCTTCCAGATGCAGGTGTCTTTATACTGCAGTGACTTGAGTCACTCTCACTGCACTCAGGGGATATCCATTCCACTTGTTGTGTCACTGTTAGCATTTGGATGGCCCTTTGATGATCTAGTTCAGTCACTTTAAATTTTAAAATTAAATAGAGAGATCATACTTTTCTTAGTTTAGCTTCCTTTCATTAACTCCTTCTTAAATCCAGAATGAAAATTAAGATTTTCTTTCTCACATATAAAGCTCTTAATAGTAATAGTTCCATCATACATCAGAGGTCTGATTGTTCCACATGCTCCTAAAGAAGCACTTCCCTCTCAGACTGCAGGTTTACCGTTGGTTTCGAGAATTTCTGAAAAAATTTTTTCAGGCTACCTCGGTTCATTTGCTTCATTTTGTGGAAGCAGCTCCCAGTTTGTCAGTGAGGCAGACATTCTGTCTACTTTGCAGAAAAGGGTTAAAACTTTTTTTCATAAAACTTTTATTTAGACTCTTAGGTTCTCCTGACCTATTTCTGTTGTTACGCTGCCATAGGCTGAGGCTACTGGAGGATAAGGTGACCACTTTTTCTCACTTTCTTATACTCCTCTCCAATTTGCATTTTTTGAGGTTATTTCAAATGCTGGCTTTTAGTTTTCTCTTCTCTGTTACTTTTTTCCCGAAGAAGCTCCATCTAGTCTGGTATTTTGATTGGCTGTAGTACGTCCCTGGAGAGGGGCATTGGGTGAGATAATGCTGCTACATAGCTCTACTTTCACAAACATCAAAAATAATCCTTCCTCAGATCATCTTTTTGTGCATTCGCTCTGTCTTCACAAACTTCCAGTCAGCTGTGGCAGTCAGGCGCTTGTGCTGACCTAGGTTCTGGATCTGCTGAGGGCTTTTTTCCCTCTCCACTATCGCTACATGCATGCTCGGTATGAGAGATTGCTGTAAAGCTATCAACACAACGCTAGCAACTTTTTGCTATTGCTCCATGCTTGACTAGGATGCCGTAAATCCATTAATTGATGCAATGTTTGGGCTCTGTATAGAAACTTGAAAACTGAGTTTACTGTACTGTTTCAAATCTAAGATCAATTAGAATAGATGTATTATTTTTTGTGAAAAAAATCTACATTTTGTTGATTAGGGTTGATTTGTAAAAGCAATAAAATATTATGACTTGAATACATTTATAACATGTAACGAGGCAAACATGTGGGGGACCCTCCAGACCTTTTACAATTTACCCATCCCTGGTAATGAAAGGTTTACTCCTGGTGAAAATTATGGAGAACATAAAATCTGCAAAGTCAAAGGCCTTCAGAAAGTTAAAGATCTACATGTGGACTTTCAATCAGTATGTAAAAAGTTTTGAATACCCACAAAACACTTAATATTTACAATTAAAAAACTATGTCATCAAAATTGAAATGGATAGTAGACACTCCATCATTTAAAAAAATAGAAGATGTTTGTGTTGGGGATTTAAAAGGAAAAGACATCCAGGGTTTCCCCCAGAAAACTTGCTAAACCCGGTGGTCGGGATGTCAAGGCGTTTCACCGGCGGTCTGTCATGTTTTTGTATTAAAAGATGCTGAGTAGACAGGATGAGTTAATTACTGGGTAACTTCTGGAAGACATTGTTAATAAATGATATTTAAACCCACAACTATTCTTACAAACAGTAAATCAAACAATACAATTAAAATTAATATTAATTATTTGCACTTGTTTAATCCAAATTAAGTCAGCAGCTCCATAAGGTCCCCAGATGCCCTATAAATATTAATATTTCAACATAAACTACAGATACATAAATGTAACATTTGTTCATGGACATCATCAATGCTGCAGAATTTCATTTAAAGGTTATGGTTATTTCAGTATACATAAAAAAAAAAAAAAAATTGTTTAACATTTCAATGTAAGATTTTATGGAGCTGGCAAGTTTACTTTGTAAAAGTTCAAAGAACAATATTCATAGTTAGATTGTATTGTTACCATAGCAACAATCTGATGCTGTTTGTTCACAAATACAAATTAATAAACTGCAATTATAACTGATTGTTTTTAGGTTGGCCAATTAAACTACTTCCCCTCTCCCAGATTTCACTAAATCTAACAAAGAAACTGTTGGAGGTGCTGATGATTTCAGCTGCAAGAGGAGCCCCTAAGTCAAATTCTGCTCCAGGCCTCATGCAGCCTTAAACCGGCCCTGCATGATGAGTTCAATCCACTGCACTGTGCAGAGATGATGAACAAACAGGAGATTTAATTCAATGCTGCTAATGTGGCTTTAGTAGCTCTTCCATTTCGTGTCTGTTGAGTTTTTAATAAGCGCCATAGAAACTGTTTTGGTTTGTCCGAGCTTTTACGGAGGAGTTCTTTCACATCTCGGCGCAGCCCCGCACATTAACTCTGGCTAAGTGGACAAAGCATTTGATTCTTTGTGTAACCAGGAAAAAATAAAAAATAAAATAAAATAATATAAAACCAGTGTGAAGCATGACTACGAGGCGAGCGTGAAACCTCCTCACCGGGCTGAACCTGCATGATGAGGTTAGCACTGGTTCATTAACCACTAACTCACCAGCCAACTGGCCACACATACATAAACTTTATCAGCACAGACAGAGCCAGGTGCTGGACAGTGAGTTAATATGTAAGGCCAGCTATAATCCTTTGTTCACTAAGATCAATCATTCTCAGTGCTCGCTCAAGGCACACCTCTGAGAGAACGACTACAAGTTATTCCTGTGATTCACATAAAGCTGCACAACCAGAGCAATGAGTTAAAGTGCCTATCTTGATGTAAAGTTCTCCAAAGAAACATAATTCCTCACAGAGGGTTGATGTAAATACGCACACATCTCTTTTGAGTGAAAGGAGGCGCACAGGCAAACTTCCCACATCCAGCTGCTGCGAAACATCGCACAAAGGCACCAACGATGTGACTGGTCTGCTCTCCCAGCTTTAAATGCATCAATTATAAACCTATCTTCTAGAAACATATCTTTTAGGAACCAATCTGCCCCGCCAGTAAAACGCTTCAGAGCAACAGAGATGTTTGCAATACTAAAAAGATAAAATAATAATAATAAAATAATAAAAAAAATAATAATTTTGGGGGAGAAATTATGTTTATATTAGCATAGATGAAGAAAGATGGAATCAGGTTTGTTTAAAAGCACAAAAACAAATAATAAACATACAATTTTTATGGTGACACATGACTATTATAGGGACTGAAGACAGGGATTATTAATGGGGAATCAGTGTCTTGACTTTAAAGCTTCTATTTATCAATTGTCTTTTCATATTCTTTGTTTTACTCTGAAAGGTTTTGTTTATTTCTGGATCTAAACATAACATGTAGGTTTGAGTTGTGTGTGTGTGAGTGTTATTGTGCATAAATGTTTGTTTGCAATTTTAAGATATTTGTGTCCTATTAGAGAAAATTCAATAAAGTACTAGTGAAAAAAAAACATGTAACTGGGCCTCATGACCACTGAGCTATTGCCAGGATTAGATGTGCTGATAAAGTCATTGACAGCGATCCACCCTCAACATATGATTATGTCCCTCATGCCCAACAAAAAAGAAGAAAGGTAAATAAATTAGTCATTGTTCTTTTTCTTCTCATACTATGTGCATAAACTCATGCATAGGTCAAAAACCTTTGAATACTGTGAAAAAGTTAGTTTTTTGGCCACTCATTTCAATTCTTTAAAATGAGTGACTATCTGAGTTTGCAGTTTGTGTGTGCAGCTCATCTCCTCTTTCCTTCACACTGCACAAGTGCACAGCAGGAAATGCTAAATGTAACTGGGTCTATATTAATAGTTATATATTTCTACAAATATACAAATGTTTTCTTTAATGTATTTGTCTGTTTGCACCTGACTGTTCTTGTGTTCCTCTGTGTCTGCTATGGGGGGTTTGGTCCTCCAGCTCCGCCTACTTTCTTCTTCTCTTGTTCATCGTCCTCCAGGACTGTTATAAACGTTAAGTTATGAATTTCCTCTTCCCTATAATTACTCGTTCCACTGGGAGAGACAAATTTTATAATCCATTGGAATCCTTTCACTTATATTGTTCAAATGTTTATTTTTCCATTTGTGTTAATTATAGGTGTTTGGATTTTTTTTTTCATTTGAGTTATTACACTTTTATAACATTTGATACATGCTAAGGTTATTATTTTGTATGGATCGGGTTGGAGAACTGGAGCACATGCTATGTACTAATGCTAATATCTCCTGATTGACAGATTAATGAACAGAGACGGCCTCCAAACCCAGACTTGGTGCTTTGTGGTTTGTCCAGTCACCACACACACAACGCAGAAGTCCAGAGAGTTCACGAACATTTAATATAACATGATCAGCAGATGTTAACTAATAGTAATTTTTCACCACATATTTTACACAATTTAGTGTAAAATATTATTTTACTCAATTTAGTGTAAAATATTATTTTACACAATTTAGTGTAAAATATTATTTTACTCATTGCAGGTTTTTCAATTGTCCTTTTGACTGAGTAGCTGCTGTATTCTTGCAAGTATTTTGCATGTTTCATATCTAAATTA